CAAAAAAAAGCACTCACTCTGGCAAGGCTGCCAACCTGAAGAAGCTGAGAGAATTTCTGGTGGCTTTAAACCATCGTCATCATGCACTGTTCTTTTAATTTTTATACCCTATTTTCCCCGCCCCTTTCCCATTTTATTTTCTCTCTTCTATTCACTTTCTTCACTTTGTTTCTCTGACATACTAGGAGAAGAACTAGCATTTACTAAATGCCTACTGTGTGCCTGGCACTATAGTCAATGTTCTAAATACATTATCTTATTTAATCCTAATATCCTTATGAAAGAGGAATTGTTATTTTAATTTACAGACAGAGAAACTGAGGCTCAGAAAGGTTAACCAGCTTGCACTGGTCACAGAGCTTGTAAGTGGTAGATCTAGGATTGCTGGTCTCTATAACCCTTACTGGGTTCACTCTATCACCCTGCTCCTTGAGCTGAAAATGGCAGCCAGGGGAACTGCCGAGCTTTGCTGGTGGAATCAGGCTGGAACAGTTGCTGAAGTCTGGGACAGTTTATGATAAATTTTTTTTTTCTAAAAAATTTGTTAAATAAAATACTTCTACATTATCTCCATGTATATTATAACTCAGGAATGGAACACTTCCAATTCAGGCCCTACTACCATTCAAAGACTATTAGAGCAGGAAGGGGCCCTAGAGACAATGGCATCCATCACCTTCATTTTCCAGATGAGGACAATCAATTGCCTCCGAACGAAGCCCATACCCTCTGGACTTATTTCAGGCTGGATGGAAGAGTGTGTTTGAGTGAGTGGGTTAAATGGGTGTAAACAGGAATGTGTATGAGATGGAGCAGCTCCTGTCTAGGTGCACAACATTTTATTTTGCTCCAAAGAGAGGCATGGATAATAGTAAAGAAATACAAGAGTGAAAGAAAATAACAGGAACTATTTTGACTTTTTCCAGGACTTTGGCTGTAGTGGCTTATTAACTTTTTATCCAGGAACAATGACTGACCTTTCTAAGCTAGACAGGCAGCCTTGGAGTTTCATGAATATATCATTTAGGAAATGAATCACCACGTAGCGAGACTTGCCACTCTACTCTCCCCTAGTTAAGAACTCAGGCACAGTCTCACAAGTCTCAAGTGTCCTGATGCTTGATGTATTTGAACAGATGCAGCTGCAGGGCCTCAGCACTTGATTAAAACCAGACAGAAGCAAGCTTCCTTTTGGGCTACAGAGAATAGTACAAGGAGAATCTATGTTGCTTGACAAATGTAAAGGTATATGCTTTTAGAATATAAAATAGAAAGATTGGAGGCTCACAAACATAGAATCATTTACAAGCCAGCAACTAGGATAGTTACTACAGGAAAATGTAGTTGTCCTACACTGTCTGCTCCTCCCTTCTGCTATAGTAATAGGCTTTTTTGTTGGGTACAAGGCCACCCAGAATAAAGACTATAGTTCCCAGTCTCCCTTGAAGCTAGGTTCTGGCCAATGATAATAAGTGGAAGTGCTATGTGGTAGGATCTGGAAATCTTCTTTAAAAGATAGCACATTTCTGCACTTTGCCTTCTGTTTTTCTTCATCCCTTCTTTCTTTCTGCTGCCTGCAAAGTAGATGCCGCCATCTTGGTTAACAAAATTGAGGCCTCATTTACTTTGCGTGGAGGAGCAAGGAAATAGAACATCATGGACTACCCACATAAACTTTTATATGCGAGAGAAATTGTGTCTTGTTTTAGTTTGGGGTTGTCATCACTTGAATTGCATCTAACTAATACAATTTCTTTACATACGTTATTTGATCAAATCCTCATAATAATGCTATGAAATAAGTACCGTTATCCCTAATTTATAGGTGAGGAACTTAAGACTCATAGAGGCCAAGTAACCAACCTATGCTTCTCTGGCTCCAGTGCCCATGCTCTTCCCACTACACCACACTGCCTCTTTGGGAATTGTTCATTCATTGACAAATCATTCAAATACCATCTAAGTACCCAGCTCTGTCCGAGTCAGCTGGTGGGCCTACTGACAGCTCCAAGGCCAAGTAAGACTTCTCTGGCCCCTTTCACTGTCTCTGTAATCTCCAGGAGAGGCTCACTGTGAAATATGCTAGAGTACAGAATTCCCAAGAGAGGATATTGTCCAGAGCCAAGATTGTTCATGTTTCTGCAAAAGATAGGTTGCTGGCTGTGTGTGTATGTTAGGTACACAGCATGTGGCAACTTTCTTAACTAAGGCTGTTGATAGGTGTGTAAATGTGCAATGGGGGGGGGGCAGTGGTGGTTCAGAGGTAGAATTTTTGCCTTCCATGTGGGAGATCTGGGTTCATTTCAGTCAATGCACTTCAAGAGCAGCCAACACCCATCTGTCAGTTGAGGTTTGTGTGTTGCTATGATGCCAAATATGTTTCAGCGGAGCTTCCAGACTAAGACTAGGAAGAAAGTTTTGGCAATCTACTTGGGAAACATCAGCCAGTGAAAACCCTGTGGATCATGATGGCCTAAACCCTTTGTGCATGAAGCTGTCACCAGTCAGGAGCCGACTCCAGGAGCAGGTAACAACAACAACAAACTCGTGTGTATTTGAATGTACATCACAGCATTGTTTGTAACAGTGAAAGAGTGGAAACCTAAATATCCAACAATGGGGGATTAGTTAAATAAATGAAAGTAAATCCAAACAGTGGAATAGCATGTAGGCATTAAAAAGGATGATGTAGAAATACATTATTGACATGGAAGTATGTTCATGGTATGTTATTAAGTGAAGACAGCAGGTTGCAAAACAGTATTTCGAATATTGTCCTGTTTGGATGGATAAAAACTGAATGTTATTGGTGGTTATTTCCAAGTGATAGGAAGTTTTTCTTCTGACTTATCTGTATTTTCTAATTTTCTATGATGAACATGTATTACTCAGATACGTTTAAAACATTTTAAAATATTTTATTATTAGATTGAATAGGCAGTGTTTGATGGAAAGTGAAGCTTGGTCAGTGACTTCCTCCACATGGCAGCAGCAAGGCCCTCTGGGAAACTCCTCTGAGGGCTCTAGGGAACCTACATCAGTCCCTCACTCGACCGTTAGTTTAAAATATTAGTTGACTAGAGACTCTAGAAGCATTATTTATTTCCCCAAATCCCCGATGTCTCAGATTTGGGGTTCCCTTGGGTTCCCCAGGAGTCCCTAGGTGGTGCAAACAGTTAAGTACTCAACTACTAGCCAAAAGGTTGGTGGTTCAAACCACCCAGAGGTACCTCAGAAGACAGGCCTGGCGATCTGTTTCTGAAAGCTCACAGCCTTACAAACCCTCTGGAGCGCGGTTCTACTTCGCATGCGTTGGGTCGCCGTGAGTTGGAATTGACTCACCAGTGACTAACCACAACAACAGTGGGTTCCCTGGAGGTGAGGTTGGAAGTACCTGAGGGGGAGGGAGTCCCCCAGCACCCTCTGGGCATTCGGGGAGCATAGTGAGCTTCTCTCTGGTGCTGCACTTGCAAGAAGGTGAGGGGTTGTCTGGTGTCCATTTCTGATCCTGGAACAGATGCGAGATGTTCGGAGACACAGAGGGAGTCCTCCATGGGGTTGAATTGCCACAGGGATACTCCCTAATGGAAGAAAATATTTCACAATCGGTTGACCAAAGTTGACCAAAATCTATAGAAACGAGAAATAGTGTCTAGCTCCCTCTTTCTTAGCCTTTTCTCCTTCTCATCAGAACCCTGCATTTTCTTCTTATACTCTTGGAGGTTAGTTTCTGCTCAAGAAAAAGCAAGACTAGGATTTTGTTGATTGACTAGGTGAGGGCTGGAGAATAATTATCTAGTTTGTGAAATCTTTATTTTCTTCTCTAGAGGCTTGGCTATTGAGACACAGAACAAATAAAAGAGGAGTTTGAAATTAGTCTATTCTGGTCCTTATCAATAGTTCTGAAAAAGATTGGATGAGAAAAGAATTAAAACTATACTGAATTTTTAGCATCCCTAGTGGATCTTAACTGCCATCTCTAATTCCCTTCTCTATACTTATAACAATAATCGAGAGTTGGCCATATACATTATTAATGCCATTCTGGCCCAATTATACAATAGCACATCCCCCCCGCCCCATCTCCCTCCTTCCCTTGTTTGGACTCTTTTGAAGTAAGTAAGTTATGGGAAAGCATATGTCAATTTAATATAGAACTCTCTATATTGAGAAACATAGAAATATAGAGCTATCCAATAATATAGGGGCTTTCCAGAAGGTAGTGAATACCCTTGCATCACAAGTGTTGAAGGAGAGGCTGGGCGAGGGCTGGTCAGAGATATGGAAGTGATTCACTCTCCAACCCTGCCGGTTCCGAGGGATCCCAGGGGAGCTGTTGGTGTGAGGGCAGGAGTGTGCAGGGACTTACGGGAGCCACTCTTCCTTCAGGCAGCGGTTGCCAAAACCTGGCTTGTTCAGGAGGACATCTGCAAGGACCATGAGCCGCTCGCTGCCTGGCTCATCCATGCTAAACAGAGAGAAAATCTTACTCTATGAATACATGACTGAGACTGGACAAAAGTGGTCAACACTGCAAATTTAACAAGTGTTTATGGAAGGGCTACCACATCCCAGGCATGGGGTCACCATGAGTTGGAATCAACAGACAGAACACTACCTTGGAATGGTTATACCTCTCTAGAATGAGGTAGCTACCCAGACACACCCAGTAATCCAATGGCACATCATGTCTGTGCCTCCTAAGGATGTAGCTTCAATCCACTCACCTGAATTGTACTTCCTCTTTCCTTACCCCCCTCCCCAAACAGTGCTGGTAGTCTACTTGGGATCACCTTTCCATATAGTGGAAGGTACATTAACTTCCTTTCTGAGGGCAGCCAAGGACCCCTACCATCCTGGGGAATGCCCCTGGGAAGTGGGATGGTCAAGGCCCTACCAAGCAGCTTGTGACCCAGGAGCCCCACAGCCCAGAAGATGCCTGATAACTTCTGGGGACAAGTCTGCACACCTGAAGAAGGTGTACTGCTGCCCATACATCCAGGGATGAAGGGTCAAAGCGGGGTATTCACCAAAAGGAGGGACGATGATGGAAAGCATCAGAGCGAATAACACAAAACTGGCTGGAAGAACAATCTGTAGGAAAATAGATGTGGAAACATGGGCTGTGATATGTGAGATGTTACACACACATACATACACACATTCTTTTAAACATTTATCCTACAGCCTCATAACTGGGCCCAGGTAGACAAGGTCAGGCTTCTGTGGAACATTACAGGCAGGGGAAATAGTGTGTGCAAAAATAGCACAGGCAGGAGATGGAGAAGAAAATGGAATGTTCTAGTAATCAGTGAAGAATCTGAATCTAGGCCAATGTTCAACCAGAGGTTAAAGGGCAATTCAGAGAATAAGTCAGATTACTCACTGCTCTCTGGACTAGAGTTTTTTTTTTTGAATGAAAAACATCAAAAGAAAAAAGAGGACAACGACCTTGACATGCAGGGTCATTGCAAAAATGAATGAAAACATGACTTTACCCTTCATTGTAAAAATCAAAACAACAATATTAATACATTCACTATTATTCTATTTCCTCTGCTTGGTGAGGTCTAACACATACAAAGAAGCTTTGTGTTACTAAGAATCAAAATAAAGGCTTGGCAAGGAGGAAACAAGAATCCTGACAGAATCCAGGGAGAATGGTGGTGGCTGCATCTGAACCTCCGTGCAGAAGGCCCAGGAGAGCATAGAAAGGCCAGGAGAGGGCACGAAAGGCCCAGGCAAGGAGCAACTTGAGAGCACAGCAAAGACCACAGTAAGACCTGTGCCAGGAAGTCCTTGTGGCTCCTCGTGGCGTGGTGGAACCGCTTGACCAGCAGGGCCTGCATGTGCTGGAGCACGAGCCGCGCTCCTGTGTTGAGCAGGGCACTGTGGTCCTCTGGCTCCGCACAAGGCTGGTCCTCGGGGCGAGGAGCCGGCTCCGTGGGGCAGCTGCGGGAGCCCTGGAGCATCTGTCTGGCCTTCTCCCTGGGACCCAAACAGGGGTGTCGGAGACTGACGTCGTCTCCTTTCTGCTGAGTGCCACCTGGTTTGGGAGATTGAATTAATAATTTAGAAAAATACCCACAGGGTCTGGATCTCATATGTCATTTCTACTTATAGCATCGCTTCTCTCTCCATTGAAGTCAGCAACAAAACAACCACCAGGTATGTTAATGTACTTTAAAAAATTCTATTTTCCACTATAAATAAACTATAGGTAGCATCACCTGAAATAGCTTTAAAATTCTTCATAGCAGTTAAAGAGAACAAGACAGATGTAAATGCATGGACACAGAGAGAGGTGTTAAACATACAGCTAAGTAAAAAAAACTAAGTTGCAGAAAAATATGTATAATAAGATCACATTTCTGTCAGAAAATATATATATCATATACAAACAAAAATGATATTTTATGCACACACACACACACACATATATGTAACTGCAAAGCTCTGAGAGAAAGCGTATCAACTGTTAGCAGAGGTTACCCCTGGGGAGGCAAGCTGGATAAGGGGGGATGAGGTGGGAAGCAGGATTTTAGCCTTTTTGTATTATTTGAAATTTTTTTACAACAAAATATATTTACATATTACCTGTTTACTTAAAAAAAAATTAAATTTCAAAGTCAACTTGGTTCTTTCTGAATTTTTAGAAGCTTCTGAGAAGTGGTAGAAACACTAATGAACTTAGTTAAGAGAACTGGGCTTGTGGATGCTGGTTCTTATTGGATGCATAAATTTGGGGGAGTGATTTAACCTGCCTGAATCTGAGTTTTCTTATGCATAAAAAATGAAAATGAGAACATTTGACAGGGTTGTTACGAAGATTAAATGAGATAAAATATGCGAACGTGCTTCATAAACCACTGTAAGTTGTTGGTTATGCTGCAGCTGTGCTTTAACATCACTAATGAACATTTATTTGGAGAGCATCTGTCGCTGAGCACAGAGGGACAGCCGAGAGGATGCTGGCTGGTGCCCATCTGCTTCTTTTTGTTGTTATTAAGCGCTGTTGAGTCAATTCTGACTCACAGTGACCCCTCTGTACAACAGAATGAAACGCAGCCTGGGCCTGCACCATCCTCACAATTGTTGCTATGTTTGAGCTCATTGTTGCAGCCACTGTGTCCATCCATCTTATTGAGGGTCTTTCTCTTTTTTTGCTCTATTTTACCAAGCATAATATCCTTCTCCAGGGTCTGATCCCTACTGATAACATGTCCAAAGTATGTGAGACGAAGTCTCCCCATCCTTGCTTCTAAGGAGCACTCTGGCTGTACTTCTTCCAAGATAGATTTGTTCATTCTTCTGGAAGTCCACGGTATATTCAAT